TAAGGAAAAAATCAATATTAAAAAACTAAATAATTTGTTTAAAAGAGGGTAATCTGTAACCTTCAAAATATAATAATAGAAGGCAAAGAATTCTTTCATTTCTAAAATATGACAAGAATGATAAATTAGGACTCTTGTCAAACTATCAAGGACATGAATTTCAAACAAGGAAATCCTCAATACACTCTTGTGTCACTCAAACGAACTAAAAAATCACTCAAAGATGATATAATATTAAACTAGAATGGCTATTACCAAATACAAAAAGACTTGAAAGTCTTGAAACAAGTCTAAAGACTAAAAAGGTATTGATAAGAGTGAAGTAGGCTCCACTTTTGCTTCCATATATACTATCTAACTAAGAACTATGTAGTGATATTTTATAAGACCTCCAAAACGTATTGATTTTATAAAATATATATATATATCTTGACTTAAAAGGTAAGTTTTTTATATAAGCATTGCATAGTTAGCTTATTTTGCAAGCTAATAATATATGATTAACTTATTGACTAATTTTCTAATCTATCAATGAAATATAAACACATGTAGAGTCAAAACAACATCTATGAACTTTTAAGAAGCTTTTGTAGAAAATATTATAAAATTAATTTACTTTTATCTATTTTTACTTAATCATATAAATAACTATTAAAATAAATATATATGTTTGTGATAACATATAATATTATTTTTTGCAAGGGTATATATGCAAGGAGATATCTCCATAATAAAAATAAAGCAACCATCTAGATATTTTGTAAATCACTAAATCAATTGATTAGTTTTTTTAGAAAAAAATGATGTATTTAGAGTGCTTAAAGCCACAATATATGGTAAATAATATAGAAATATTTAGACAAATAGAAAATTAAAATTTTAATTATGGAAATGGAGTCTATAAGTCTTGGAGATAATTATTTTACTTAATTTAGTATTTTTTACTTATTATTGAGTATAAAAATTTATTTATTAAGGTCAATATTTATATTGGCCTTCTATCTATATATATTACTTATTAAAAAAACTATAAATTTTAGTTAGTAGCTAGAAGAAGCATGAGAAAGAATTTCATATCTTTTTAGTTATTTATATACATAGTAGGATTTATAATAGATTTAAATTAATATTATTACTATAAAAAATAAATAAGATAAGAAATTATAGCTTTAAATTAATATTAGAATTATCGAAATATTAAAATAATTTTTTAGAATTTACTTAAAATTTATTTAGAATATTTTAGGAATTTTTAGAGCAATTTCTAAGACTTTGGTAAAAATAAGTTTTATCACTTCAGGAGCCATTATGAAGAAATGGAGCAAGATTTGAAAGCCACACAAGATTCTTAGGCTATTTTTGTATTTTTAATCACCATGAAGAAGTCAAAAATAAAAAAATATTGATTTTACTAATAGAAAATACGATGACCAGCAGCTAATTTAGTCCTTGTAAGAAAGGAGATGCACAAGTCACATATGGGTAGTAGCACCTTGAAAGTAGTTAGAAAGATAAGACTAAGGCCTCATGGCTGCTTTTAGACATCCATATACACTAATTGTGAGCCTTGGTGAAGCTCAAAATCTTTATCTCTTAATCGAGTTATCTTTGAGGTAAAACTTATTAACTTAATTTTTTTATTTATTTACTTATTATTTTTAAACCTTCATAACTTATTTATAGTAACTCGGATTTATATTTTTCTTATATCATTGAAAAAATAAAAATTTATCTTTCTAAAAATATATTTTTTACTTTTATTTTTATTTTTTACTGAATGAAAACTCAATGAACAAACTGTGATTAGCTTTGTAATTTATAATTGCTTAATTGCACTTGTTTCACTTATTTTTTTGTTGTGTTGTGTTGTTTTGTGTTTTTCTTTTTTTTTCTTTTTTTTTTTTTTTCTTATTCTTGCTACTTTCACTTCACACCACTAATTACAAGTAGCTCTTAATTGACACCATCTTGTAATTTGGCTTGAAGAATGAATTTTATACTCACATATTTTCTAAATTTATTGTTTTCATTTGAATTTTTATTTTATTTTATTCAAAGATTTATATAATAGTCATGCAAAATCATATTATGTAGAATGTACTATCAACTCATATACAACACATATATTATAGTTTGATACATAAACCTTTTAGATTTTTAAATCATTTTTTTTAATATCCAAATTTTTAATTTTAATTTACAAAGGTACATAAAAAATGTTAAAATATGTATTTTCTAAGTTTAAAGATTGTAAATACTTATACAATCTAATAGTAATTAAAAATATTAAAAACTCTATTTTAATAATAAATTCTAATTATTGGTGAAGTAATTTGAATAATTTATCTATACTTTAGTATTTAAATTTTCTTATTAATATTTTATTAATCTTAGAAACTAAACATGCATATATAATATTTTATTAATACAATTATATATGATAATAGAAATTAAAGAATATATTTTTTTTTTCAATAATAATCTCAGCCAAATTGTATAGGTTTGTATGCCAATATGATACATATATTGCCTACAACACCAACAATCTACAAAAGTCTCTAATACTATTAAAAATTTTATAATAGTAAATTATTCTATTAAATTTGATTACATTATAAGTTATTTTTTTATAGGTAGAATTGAAACTATAATATAATGTATAAAAAAGATTAAATAGTTTTATGATTTATTATTAAAAAATATTACTTTGTTATTTTTAAATGTAAATAATATTTTTTAAAATTTTAATTTTATCTTATATTTTCAACATATCTATGGTTATTTTTAAAAAATAAGATAGTTTTTAAAAGTTTCTAAATATTTATAAAAGATTTTTAAAACATCGTTATTTTATATTTTTTTAATTTTTTCTATATTTAAAATCAAATATTGATAATAAAACATCAGTTTTAGAAGGTAAATTCTTGGTACAATATGCCTTATCTAAAATATAAATAGGTACAAGTAGATTACATTTGCTACTTTGTGTTTAGTATTTGTAATTTTTATATTCTCAAGAAACTAAACTTTATCCTTTGATATAACTATGTAGTCATTTTTTTGTATATTATTATCACACATTTTTTTTCATATGAAGTATAATAATGAGATATTTATATAAATCATTTTATATTTTATAATAATATCATATTAATAAACTTTAAAAAATATAAATAATAAAAAGATAACAATGATAAAAATAAAAATCTATTTTAGTGGTATAAAATTTTGATGTTAAAAAATTTATTTAAAAATTACAATATTTTTAATATTAGAAATTTTTATCTAAAAAATATATGATTTTTTTAATATTTTATGAATATAAAAATGTAATCTCAAACTAAAAAGAAAAGAAATAAAATAAATCATAAGTATTAGTAGTGTTTTAAACATATTATAGTGTTATATGAAAGTTTAAATTATATATATATATATATATATATATATATATATATATATATATATATATATATATATATATATGTGTGTGTGTGTGTGTGTGTGTATAAATTATTCAAATATTAAATACAACCACATCATATATATGTAAAGAGTAAAGTGAAGAAAATAAAATAATATTTATATATAAATAATAGAATTTCATGGCAAAAAATTCAAAAATTAGAAGCACTTATGTTATAAAAATTCCACACTTTTTTAATTTATTTTTAAATAATACTTTTAGAAGCTAGATTTAATGTACAAATATGCATATACAATATAATTTTTTATTTTAATGATGAAAGATGGAATATTTGAAAACTATCATAATAAGCTAATGTAACTTGTTATTACTTTAGATGATTAAAACCATGAAAGTTGAAAAAAACTATAATTAATGCTTAAAACTTAAAATTTGATTTAATTATTTTTTATTTTTTATTTTTTTATAATCTTTAAAAAATTATATTATACTAGAATACAATTTTTAAAAAATTGAGGCATAATTTCTTATGTATATTTAACTTTAGAAAGTAATGCTACTTTTATCTAATACAAATTCTTATAAGCCCAAAATAGATTAATCAAAACATAATCAACATAGATTTATTATAAAATTCAACCTAAAAAATAACCAAAAAGATTAGATCTTAAAGCAAGACACAATACTACAAAAAAATTAGTAGTTAACTACAACCTTCAAGAATTGCCAAAAGATTTAGTGCCAAAGCTAAAATCCAAACGTACAAGAATTAAATTTTAAAAATAGGCCACAAAACAATGTTATTGCTTCTCAAATAATAACATTGAAGGCATACTTATAGAATAAATACCTCAATTCCAACATCTATAAAAACAACAAAAATGTTCATTTAAAAAAACAACCTATAATATGTCATAGATGCCTTTGTATATGGTGTGATTAAAAGTCTAATTATAAAAAATATATTAATTTCCAATATTTAGTAATAGAATACAAATATTAGTCTATTGTTATACAAAAAAACACCTCTATTGAATATAAATTATCTCCATTGAATATAGAGTACACACCCTATACTTTCCAACACCTCTATTGAATATAGATTATCACCATCGAATGTATACACACCCCATACTTTCCAAGTCCAAAAAAAAAAAAGAAAAAAAAAAAAAAAAAAAAAAAAAAAGGAAAGTGAGAAAAAAATTAAAATTAAAATAACTCTATTCGTTGAAAAATTGCACAGAGCATCGTTGTTGGAGCGTTTAATCCACATTCATCCATTAAGCATTCTTTTCTTCACGTCTTCCTCTCACTCCCACAATTGTTCCAATAAAAACCCGCGTGGAGGGGGGTGCGTCTATTCCATTCCATTTCGAGGGGGTAATGTTGTGGGATTTGCAGGCCTCGTTGCAGATTGGAGGAGGGCGATGGATGAATCGATGAGACTGGCCCTGAATAATAGCACTGCACCCCCTTTTTTAATGTCATCTTCCTTTTTCTTCTTCATTGCAGTTGACCCATTTTGATTCCTGCTTGCCATTCTTGTGATGCCGGCCGTTGCGAGGCTTCCCATCTCTCGGTATGGTGCCCACCGGGCACATGAAGATCCTCGTTGTGACCACCACCTGAGCCAATCTCCCTCCTGCTCATTCACTCAATCATCCTCCCGTTGGCTGCTTTCCATCTGGCCGGATTGTCACTGCCTCTCCGTTGTCCTCGATGCAGTAACTGCCCTCGGGTGGACCCCCCGGATGGTGAGCTTCAACAGCCCAATGTTAGAAGTCCCCGCAGTCCGAAATCCGAGGGCGTTATGAAATGCGCACCTGCTCAGGGCACAGCCCGGAAATCACAGGTTACTGCCGACGATGTTGGATGGATAAGAACCCACTTGCCATTTGAATTTCATCGCGTTTCTGCCTTCGTTGGCAGTAGTTCATCTCTGAGTGTGATTGATCTTGTTGGCGTGCTCTGAAGAGTAGAAGTGGCCTCGTCGTGGACTTGGCAGATGTTTTTTTTGCGTAGGAATGCATGAAGCTTTTGTTGATTGAATGCAGTTTGTGATGAGTGCAAGTGGAGCTGCGCCATGGTGTTAATTGTGGGTGGAATCGCTTCGGAGTTGGTGGCTTCCGAAGTCGAGCGATTTGTAGCTGGCGCAGTTGCAGATTTCAGCTTACTTCCGCTTTGCTCACTCGCTGGGTGTGGGAGCACAGCTTCGGACTTGCGGGAAATGAAGTCGTGGTAGTCGAGCAAGGGCTACGATGATGAAAATCTGAAATCGATGAGCGCCTGGGCGGGCGTGCATCCCATTGCTCCACTTCTTGCTTCAAACACTTCAACTCCACGTGGTCTGAGCGTAACAGGTGAGAGAATCGTCTCCGAAACTGGTGAACTACCAGATCGTCTAATTCCTTGGTTGGTGAATTTCTGGTTTTGAATCCTATGCTCGGCCCAGTCTTCATGCATGCCAAACCACGCTTGCAATTCGATTTCAAGCTAGCTCCACAGTTTCCCATAGTAAGGAAGGAGGGGAATGCCTCAACATTTCTGAAGCTTGAATGGCGCATAAGTGGCATATTTGTAGAAGGATATTAGCTGATGTCAATATCCGGTCTGTGGAATTGGATTACAGAGAGCGTTGTGTAATGTGAGGCTGGGTTGGAAAACGTAGAAATCCAATCCCCAACAACTGTCAGTTATCAGATAAACAATCAACGGGGTTGCTTATATTTGTTTTCAACTCAGTAAGAATCTCTACTTTTTAGAAGCTCTTGATTCCAGTGGTGCAGAAATTGGGCTAGTTCAAGTCTAAGGGATAAAATCGAAAGTTTTTCACCAAAGTAGTCTAAGTTGGATGCGATGAGTGCAGGATTAACCTTAACATGGGGAATTGTTTTGTATTTTAGCCATTCTTCAAGCACCCACAACGTGCATACGTTAGACTGTAGGATATTAGAATCGGGCGGCAGAATGGCAGCATAAGTTAATATCACAACTGGGAGATACAGGTGCTTTGGGGAAGCAGCATCGATGTTACGACGTAAGGAATCCGTAGACAACGCACCGCGGATGAAGATGATGCACTTAATGGTCAATCGAAGGCAGGTGCTGAACAAGAAGACCAGCTTGGTTAAAGAGACCCTCAACGATGGTCTCGTAACGTTTGGTCTCGACAGCCAGGAATCTGACTCCTCGAAATCTAGACACCGACCACGTAGAAACTGCAAATATGCGACGTCAGAGAGTCACTCCTCGTCAAGATTCCATGGCAACGAGGCGGCGAAAGTCACAGCCGATGACCCCACCGGAAAGTTTGCTTACGTATCCCTGGATGGGCGCCTCATTAATGCGGAGCTGGCAACCAGCATATCGAGCATCGGCGGTAAGCTCGGCGACCAGGAAGCGCAAGCCTGGGAAGATTTTGCACCAATACAGCGTGTTTTGATTGTCGCGCTCTCCGCTGCCGCTGCTGCAGAGGCGAAGCATAGGAACAGAGAAGAAATTGATTTGCTATTCAAGGCTGTTGAGAAACGGGTTCGTTCTCTCTGAATATATCTCAATTTCTTCGAATGCTTCCAATCATCTTTTCAAAGTTTCTGGGACCTGTCACTCGACTTATGGACACTTCAAATTGTATTCGCTTCTAGGCCAAGCATCTGTTTGACCTTTACATCTTAATGTTGCAATCTAAGAAGATATTGTGATTGGTTCGTGCTCACAGGAAAACGAGCTTATATTACTCCGGCAACAATTCAGTCTGCTTTGCAAGCAAAATCACACTGATACCCTCCAGATTCACCCTGAACCACTTCTGTTACCTGAGAATTTGGTGGTAAGTAGTCCTATATCACCTGCTCGGAGGGGATTACAGACGGTACGGCGCAGCCTCAATGGGGACAACATAAACTTGAGTCTTGACTTGAAGGAGGATTGGATCTCAACAGAGGTTGCAATGATGACGCCCTGCGTGGTGGGTTCTGAGTTTAGAGGTTGTGAGGATGATGCTCGCCGGCTGTCTCGAGACAATCTTGTAAATAAGGACGTAGTGTTCGTTGAGAGCACACCTTGTAAAGGAAAAGCATCCACTCGTTTCTCAGTGGGCGATGAAGCGTGGGCCGAGGAGGAAGCTAAATGGTACGTTAATCCCATGGTGGAAACCACCCATGACTTCTACAACATTTCCACGCCTGAGCGGTGCAATTCCATGTACTCCATCTGCAATCCGGCGAGGCAAGGGTCCTTCGAGTGGAAGGTTTTGAGGTCATCGTTTGCAAGCAGGGGGACGGAAATTGCAAATCGGAGTAACCCGCTCGTGAATTCCCCAAAGGCATGTATGCACGCTATGGCACCAAGATTTGTTTCGCATCTGCTCACGGTATTGTCAATTGGGAATAATTAGTTAGCTTGATCCCTCAGTTTGGTAGAACAGGCTTGATACCAGAGGTTTTAAACTTAACAATGGTCTTTGTAAAAGGTTGACTCGCGATTTCCATCACCAACCCATGTGTTCAGCTATCTTTCAACAAATATGGTGTCGAGAATGCGTGGGTTGGGTGGGTTTGATTGGTGTTGATAAGTGACCTTGTGCATCAATACAGACATTCGCCTATTGCATGTGTTGTTTAACTTAATTATTTTGTGGTATCTGCAGATGAAATTTAGCAACTCAAGTAATCAACCGAGAGCACAATTAGCCAAGGATGGGGCTGTGGTCAAGGATCACAAAGCAATGCTTGCAGTTTGCGCTGCAGTCGTCATTGATCTCAGGGTAAGGCCGATAAAATAACTCCCTTAAAATCTCAAAATCTGATCATGTGAAGTTTGAACCCTGTACAAGGCTGGAAGTTATTTTGTAACCTTTGATCTTCCGCAATCGTCAATCAACGATCCAGTTAATCGTAGTTGTCAAAATGGCCAGCAAAGTTTTAGTATCACATGATCTTTGAAACTCGGATTCCTTCTCAAGCAGCCTGTTTCACGAACACAATCCTGTACCAATCCTATGCAGAAGCAAATGCTAAAAATTCTAGATGAGGAGACTTCAATGGTCATCGATGCACTGGATCAAAGCGTGGAAGACGCGAAAACTCGTGTTGCATCAATGCATGTAACGTTAAAGAGTTGTTTGAATGCTTCGGTTCCAAAGGCACTAGCAGGGATCAACCTTTCTCCTTCCGAGTTCGACAGCTCTATATTCAGCGAAACTCAGGTACAAACATACTTACGGCTGTGTTTATTCGTGCTTTTGACATTCGTAGATGTTTTAACTACCTATTCTCTTTTCAGAACACTGGCTGCCTAATCCATCTTATGCATCTTTTACCACTCGACAAACCTTCAACTTACGCTTGACCATTGTACGCCATATCGTGTTGATGTTACGCAGGGTGCTTGTAACTGGAATGGCGCATCAAAAACTCAAGAAAGTATTCTAGCTTGGAACGCGTACCTTGGGACAAATTGTGGGCCTGAAATGCCTTCTGCTTATGAAGTAGAGAAGATCCAAAAGAATTCCGCCGAGTACTTGGAAGAGCAATTGTTGAGAGAACTGGACAAAACGGCAGTTGAAGTACATCTCGAGGACCAGGTCATAACAAACTCTTCGCTTGAAAGTTAAGTTGGAAGCTTAATTAAGTGCAACTAGGCTCTGCAGAATGCCGAAATTTTTTGCCGGTAAACTTGTGGAAAGTGTGGACATTGTAATCAAAACGGACCAATGTCCTTGAAATGTTGAAGATAGCTACTTCTTGCGCTCTTGCAACCACTCTGAACATCATTGTTGAGTTATTCGAAACTTGAAGATTATCACAGCCACGAAGGCTCAGAAAATTATTGCATCTCCTTCTTCGACGCTTTCACTTGTGAAAGTGTCATTGAAGATCTAAGCGGTTACATATGTTGGTCTAATTGAACTCGGGAAAAAAATCTATGCCAGATAGGAAGGTACGAGGGGGAGTAAATGTGGTTGCAAATGAACTGACAGGTCAAAAGTCGCGAGGATATTGCCGAGTTGGCAAGGCAGCTCCAGTCGAAGGAGGGGGAAGTTGCAGATCTGAAGAGATGCCAACAGGTTAGCATTATTTCAGCTTATTAGTGCTTTGCAGCCGGCCAGCTATTTGTAACGTATTTTGCCTCGCTCCTTTAGACCAAATTTATGAGCATGACGCGGATACTTCTAGCACAAAAGCTTAGTGTAACAAGTAAGATGGACCAAGAGAATGTTTTATGTCCTATGACAGCTCGAAAGGTTCCTGGATTGTATTCAGAGAGAGAGCAGCAGGCCAAAAGAGTAAAGAAACTTTACTCCGAAGGAAGCGAATCTAAAACCAGAAGTAAGAGTGCGATGGGTAATGAACAAAAGGTACTTTACGACATTTAATAGATGAATGCAACTGTGTGCACCATGCAGGAATCGAGTATGGTTTGGATCATCGGAGTCAATAAGTCTAACGTAAACACAAGTCCAAGTTAGTCAGAGATGATGTTCCAAGCAATTACGGAGTCTTATTTCTTACAAATACTTGTGACAGGCTTTGTTAGGTATCAAAAACAAGGAAATTGAGGAACTGAAAGAGGATAAGGAATGTGGTGCCGAACTTGACAAACAATGTGCGGCTGTCAAATCCGCCAAAGCCGCAAGTGTTGATGTGAGTCAACCGTCATGTTCTCAAGTTCAAAGTCTCCCATGTGTAATCCAGTTTCAGTTTGGATTTGTTTAAGTGGAACCCTGTAACAGCTACACTTGGATTAGGAATGGAGATTTAGCTTCAATGAGCTGAGTTTGTGGGTGTGACATTCCCAGAGGTCGGCTATGCTGGAGGAACTCTGTAGGCAAAAGGACACCTCACTAACTAATCTGAAGCAGGGTATTCTATCCCTAGAGTCAAAGGTAAAATTCTGATTATACAGTCCTGATTACGTTGTACATATGCATCCATAGGAATGTTATTGGACACCTCTGTGTTATGCTTCGGAGACAAAGCTCTGTTAGTGGTATTTTATCTTGGAATCTCACAACACCTTGTTTGGTAACTCCAGGTGCAGAAGTCTCAAGCATATCAACCACCAGCTGTGCCTCGATCTCGACAAAATTCTACACCTTCCACCCCCTCAAACAGTGGATATGGGGCACCTCGGAAAGAAAGACCCACTGCGAACTATGCTTCTTCACCTCCTGGAAGTGACCCTATCCTCGTGCACATAGGAAAATCCATGAGAGAGGTATCAAACTCTGATAGCCTCCACAGAAACCCACCTCACATAGACACTCAAAGACAAGAGGAAATCACAGACGACGCAAGGTCGGAGCAGGAAACCTCTCAGGAATACTCATCTGCACCAGGGTCAACAACCATAGATAATTTCTCCGTTAACTCACTTGCCTCGTCAGAAAATGAGGTTGAGAGCCAAATAGGAAGCGAATACTGCAGCTCGGGTGACTATTCGCGGCACCACAACTCCGAGGATAGGCACTTTACCACGGGAGCTTCTTCTCACAACCGGACGCTTCAATTCAAGAAATTCGCCTCATCAGGTAATTGCACTGACATGTAAAAAAATGCACAGTGGGGATGGGGATAAGGAACGAATTCATTTTAGGGTTGTACTATCGTAAGATGTCAACTTACAGTTGCACAGTCTTCTCATCTTTGCCCTGTTCACGAATGGCACCAGGATTGCGAAGATCAGCTGCAACATCCACCGCGAGTAGTGTTCGTGGCCTCAAACGAGTGCAACCCAGCAGGATTTTCTCATCTGTAACATCAAGATCCCAGCTAGCCTCAGGAAGGATGCACTCCACCATACCTTTGAGCAGAACTCTTTCTTACAAGCCTAAGAAGGCGATGAAAGGCCGTAACAGCCCACAGATTAAGAACTCAAAGACCTTAAGACCAAAGTCTGCAAATATGGCTACGAACTACCGTAGCTCGTCGTCTATAGACATGAGCTTCAAAGCAAACGTTAGTCCTGGTCACATAACTCTTGGATCCTCTGCAGGATCAGTAGACAGCCTAGACAGACTTGCAATCAAACGGAAGCGGTGGATGTGATCGCACCACCGTAGCAGAACACGACTCATGTACATATTCCCCAAGGGGTGTTCCCTGCTTCTCCCTCCGAAGCATCAACAAAATTATCAACACCGTGCACTGAGAATATTTATTCCACAGATGTTGCAAATGCAAGTATTCCATTAAAAAAGATTTTAATTTTGTACTCATTGTTCAACAATATACTAATAATGTAATATAAGGTACTGGAAGGAAGATTTTAGTGTTGCACTAGGTAAAGAGGGATGCAATGTTGACTGAGATATAGAGTTTTTCTTCAAAGATTTAGATTTTTATTAAAAATGTGGATGCAAAATTAGGCATTTTATGGAAGGATTTGATTTGATGATATCTCATTCGTAGTAATTACCATTGAAGGCATACTATATTGATTAAGAATATTAAAGGTTTGTTTCAATTTTTTTGGATTTAGCATTCAAACAATAGGTTATATTTAAGATATCGTAGGGCCCAAGTTAATGGGGATGAATTTTAGATTGACTAAGTTCAATATTTTTTTTGATTATGTAGTAGAGTTTTATAATTGTTAGAAAGCAAATTCATTATGTAGTGAGTTTTGCTTATTATTAACTATGTTGTGAAATTGTTGTGTTGCTTGTCACAATGGAAGAAAATACTTTTAATTGAAGAATTTTAATAGTAAGTTCTATATTTTATTTTTTTGCACTATCTTTTTCATGTTATTCACACTTTATTTTATTTTAAAGATGTGAATAAGACTTATTAAAGGTTGACATCTTCTAATTAGTTTTTATTTTGGAAATATTATGTAGAATAACTGCAGAGATTAATGATAGGGAATTGAAGAAGAATTAATAGATGTATATTACAAAGACCACTCGGTGAGCATTATTTAGAAGTTGGATTATTTTGAATTTGATTAAATGTCTTTAAATCACATCTGAAATATTTATTAAGGATTTGGTATCATTCTAATTTTTTATATTTAGTAGAATGAATTTTGACAAATTTTAAATAAAACTAATGTTTATCTTTGAATTTGTGATTTAGAATAAAGTTACAATACTTGTTAGTATTTCATCATGGCTTATCTTCTAGAATCATTCACAAGATAAGCATCAATGGCTTGGATGCTAGTCAATGGTAAAGATATTTGGAAAGAATATGAAATTTGTGTTAGAAGAATTCAAGTTTTATTAAAGAAAGAAAATCATTTGAACAAAAAACAATGTGCAAATCTATAGAAGAAAATTGATTGTTTTTTTGAAGGTTTTTCAGCAACTAATAATTTACAAAAATAATAAAATACAAGATAGACTTTTATTACATGAATTATTTACTATAGTGAATAAAGTTGAACCATTGATAAAGAATTATAGAGATCAAAATTAGTATCAAGTAGAAATATTCCAATTGAAGAACACATAGAATTTTAGAGAACTTCTTTTAGATTTGAAGTTTTGTTATGATGTAGCAAGTGATGTGCTTAAAAAGAACGATTAAAAAACATTTGACGATACCACACTTATTACTTTTGATGGTTCAACCTTTAATGAAGTGAAAGGTAATAATAAAGATCTATATATGAGATTGGACTTTACAAGTGGAGATGAGAATTTTGAATATTGTAAATTAGCAAAGCATCAATTTCAAAAATTAAAGGATATGCATCATACAAAAGGTGGAGAATTAAATGCCTTCAAGTTGCCATCAAAGATGACAAACATTGAAAGTATGGAATTCATAAGCAAATGATATTTTGGAGAAGTTTAGAAAGTAAAGTAGTGGCAGCTTTTGTGTGCAATAAAAAAATGCATGATAGATTTGATAAGTTGTTTATTAGGAAAGTGGACTTTTTAGCAAGTCTAAGCTATTCCAACTTGATTAAGTATTATTTTTCAATAAAAGATGATAATGGCAATACTGCAAAAAACAAAAATAAAAGTTTATATTTAAAAATGAAGTTGATACAAATAAGCTTGAAAAATATATTCAATATATATATATATATATATATATATATATATCATATATATATATCATATATTTTTTTATTAATAGTATGTATCAAATTACAAGAAGAATGTGCTACCTACATGACATGCATATTATACATCAAGATTTGAAGCCTAACAATGTTTTATTTAATATTTTAAAAAAATAAATAATAAATGAGACTATTCAATATAAGTATGTGAAATTAGTTAATTTTGGAATGTCTAAGGTTGATATAGAAAGGAATCCAAAAGCTTCAAATAATAATAATATCTATGGTAGTATTACATATATGTCTCTTTAAGTATTAAAAAACAAATTTGAATCAATGAAATTTTATCTATTTGAAGCAGATGTGTATTCATTTGCAATGGTATGTTTTAAGATTCTTTCAAAAAAAAGATCTATTTTACAATCTTAGCATAAAAAGAAAAATATTAAAAAGAATAATGAGAGATAAAAGACCAAAGTTTCCTTGAAATTGCAATGAATTATCAAAGTTCATTGAAAAGTGTTGGAAATTAAATCCTTTCCAACAGCCAAAATTTGAAAGTATTTGTGATAGATTGATCAATTTGAAGAAATTGTTTTTGATAGGAAGTGATATTGCTTAAATACCACATTTTGATTCACAAAGAAAAAAATTTTATCAAATCATACCACCATAAGAAACTCACAATATGATGCCATTGATAAGATTCTTACAAATAAATATGGTAAATATGCATAGAATTATTTGAATTGATATTAATATTAAATGATTACTAATTTTTGAGTTGTAATATAATGATGATTAGGTATCTTTAAATAAGTGTGAGTTTATAAAATTAGATACAATTTGGAGTTTGATAAATTTATGGTTTGATTTATAAATGTTGGATGAATCACTTAAAGAGGAGTGATTAGATAGAGTACAACATCTTTTATATATTAAACAACTATGTGCTAAAAATATAAAGATAATATGTCTTGGTGTAATGGATGGAATAGATAGGACTACAATAGTAAAGACTATATTCAATGATACAAAGTACACATATGGTGCATAATACTTTATTGAATGAAGTGAAAGTCATAAAGATTGCTTTATAATCTATTATAAAATCTTAAGGGACTTCAAAGAGAAATCAAAACCAAAGGATATAAAAGAAGCTCAAAATAAGTTGAAAGAATTCTTTACAAAGAATAAAATCATTATGATCCATGATAATGTGAAGAATCAAAACAAAATTGAAGTTGTTGTAATTATATATGTATTCTTTGCTAGCAATGGTGGCATATTAATTGTAACAACTCAAAATTAGAAATCAATAGGATATTTTGGTATAAAACTTTGCAAGATAAATGTTGAATAATTTGATGAAGAAATAAATATGAGGTTGTTTATTATTCATTTTTATAGATACAAAGGAACATTGCCTAATGGACTTGTTGAAGTTGGCAATGAAATTATAAAAGCATGCAATGGCCTACTTTTGAGTCTTAAAGTCATGAATGCATTTTTAAGAAGCTAAAAGAAGTTGAGATTTTGGAAGAGAGCTTTACAAAGGTTAAAGAGGGGAAGAGATTTAGATGGAGATAAAAAAAAAAAATAGTAACCATAAGATATAGAATATATTAAGAATAAGCTTTGATAACTTAAAAGCTCAAGAAAAGAATATGTTTTTAGACATATATTATTTATTTGGGAGTGATGTGTATCTTTAAGGTATGTTGAAGGGAAGAAGCTTGTGAATATGGACTAATAATGAAGATAATATTTTAGAAGAAGTTATAGAAATTATATTGAATATATTGATTTATCAATCATTCGTAAAAATAGATAAAGGTGAAAATATAAGAATGCATAATCAATTACAAAATATTAGTCAAACAGTTCTTGAAAGTAAGTTGGAATAGAAAAGTACAAGAATGTGGAACATGAATATAGAGTCATTAAAGTATTTGCAAATAAGGTATGTTCTTGATTCTTATCAAAATAAAATATATAGAAGTAATAATAGAAAAACATGAATTAATATGTAGATATTAGAGATATGGTACTTCTATATCTCAGCGCAATAGTTGAATATTTTGAAGTAGATTTTTATGAGAATTTTTATTTTAATCTTAAGTTATTATAAAAAAATTATATATAATAAGTAAAGTACAAGTGTAGTAATTTTAAAGTGATCATGATTGAATTGTGTTGTTATATAGTTAGAAGGATTATTTTATAATAATCAAAATAACAACATGATTATTGAAACTTGAAGATTTTTTTTTAAGACTTCAAAAATTAAACTTGGATATTAATAGAATTAAATTAAAAGATATTATAAATAATTTGAATAGAATTTTTATATTAGTATAATATTCTATTTATTTAAAATATATATCATTAAAATTTGAAATTTCAAGTAAATATGAAAAAAATTATTAGATAAAGCATTAGAACTATTAGATAAAATAGATATTTTGAAAAGTTTCAAAAAGTTGAATGTTTTAGAATTAAAAAATTGTGGTTTCATCTATATTTTTTAAAATTTATTTTAAAAACTTCTAATATTATTGGAACTTGATTTAGAAGGATATTTCAATATTATAAAGCTACCTTTAGAAATGTAATTTATGACTCCATTGATAAAACTAAATTTGAAAAATTATTCATGATTAAAATTTTATCCAAATCCATAAGAAACCTTATTTCTTTGAATATATTGGATATAAGAAGGTGTCATTAGTTGACACCATTTCCAAAAGAATTAGGCAATCTCACATCTTCCATTACATTGGATATAGGAGGGTGTTGTAAGTTGACATCATTTCCAAAAATATTGAACAACTTCACATCTTTTATTATATTAAAGATGTAGTTAAGCTCAAGGTTGATATCATTGTCAAAAAAATTAAGCAATTTCATATCTTTGTCTACCTTTGATTTAAGATTTTGCTCAAGTTTGGCATCATTATAAATAGAATTAGGTAATTTCACATCTTTGATTATGTTGGATATTCAATATTATTCAAATTTGACATCATTGCTAAAAGATGTACACAACCTCTTATCTTTGGCTACATTGTAAATAGGATAGTATACAAGCTTCTCATTAGTGAAACCTAAATTTTTAAATAGTCTACATTAAGAATTAAATAGGACA